GAATGCTAATAGTTTTAGGAAAACCTATCACATTTTTACTCTGAGTTTTGATATGGTCTTTTTTTTTTTTCCTCTAAAGGCAGGTTGACTGTGTGCTAGTAGCAAGTCAATGTGAAGTGTAAATAATATTGCGTGTGAGTACTCATCAGCTGTTATGCATGCGGTAGTTTAAGGCTCCAGTTATCTTTCTATATCAATTCCTACCAGAAGTCAGCAATCTGAATTCTTGCCCTACTCAGTATTCTGTATGGTGAATACGTGCTAAAACGCAGTGCAGCCCAGGATTTTAGTGTTATCTTTCTCTTCTAAGAGGTGGCAATTCTCATTTTGAGAATGGAGGTGGATAATCTCATTTTGAATTGGAAGTCATTCAGTTTACACAACTTAAGCAGATTCTCTAATATGCTCAGCTTCATGGTACTCTCTTCTATTCAGCAGATTAGAAGTTTTATTCTGAAATGGGAGTTCGGGTGGTAAATGCAGTTTGGCAAGGCACCTGCTTCACCAATTATTTGGCTCAGAATTGACCTGAAGAAAAGTGGGGTTTCATAAACAACATTACTACTCTTTTTTACCACATCAGCCAGAACAGACTCTGTGTATTATTAAAAGACACGCTCAGACCACTACCCATTGTTTTCAGCAACTATACTTAAAACATTTCCCAGGAGTACAGAAATTGAAGGCTGGCATCTTGAATTCATCTGTGTAAATAGATAGTCTTTGAGCCAGCAATCAAAGTGAGGTTGAGTCATGAGGCCATTGCAGTAGGAAAGCTATATACATGGGTTCCTTTTTTTTTTTTTTTTTTTTACCGTAGTATCTAATTTGTGGTCTTTGATAGTTTATTGTAGTAAACATAGCTTCAGTTTCATTCATACTGAAATGTTCCAGAAATCTCCAGTCTGGCTCATAAACATGTATTTTTCCCATTGCAGAGGGGTATGCGCCACTGCCTCTAATGACTTTCCCCACGGCCCAGAAGCAGGTTGTCCCGAGCAGCACCGGGAGCCTGCTGCCCTTCGCTGCTGCTGGGGCAAAGAACGCCATCACCAGCACTCTGCTGTGGTGCAAGGGAGAGAAGGATGCTATGCCGAGTGGCCCAGTCCTGGGACCACCCGACAAAGATTGGCTCCAGCAGTCAAAACACTACCAGAATTAAAAAAAGAAACAGAGAATCGATAACTGGGTGCCCATTCTTTTGTCTTAGATTTTAAAGCAGAGAGGCCTGTTCTCTGTTTTGCCAGCAGGAGTGGTTTAGTCATTATCCGCTTCAGAGCATTTCCAGTCTTAAGATATTGTATGTTAAATGATTCTGGGAGGGAGACTAAAGGAAGTGGCTGTGCAAAATCCATTGATGGTTTCTTGGCATAGAGAACGTGAATGACTTCTTCTGTCCTTTCCACCCTGCCTGCTTGAGCAGCACAAAGGAAAGGACCAGGCCCCCACCTCCAACCATTGTTTCTTTTGACATACCTAATTTTCAGGTTGAGGAGACAGAACGCCTACGTCCTAATGGATGTGAGGCTCAACCTTAGAGGGAGTTTATCCAAATGGGAAAAAGAATTTTTTGAGGAATATTTAGCTCTAACAAGAGACTTATAATAGGTTGTCATCAAATAAAGCTGGAATATCCTGTGGTTAAGTCATTTCTCAGTTTAAAAGTAGAGTTTGAGTTTGGTGTTTTGGGAGGTGCTTTTCTTAAAGAAAGAATCCTCACTTCTCTTACTCAACTGTTAGACGGTCTGTCCAGTTGTGTGCATCTTGGCATTATCTCCATTTTAAAATGGAACATTGCTGAGGCTGCTCATCTCTCCGGCATGAGGATCTCTCTCAAACCTTTGTTACATCCCGGCAGCAAAACGAGTCAGCGCAGGAGCAGAGCAACTTTGCTTGCAGAACACGCTCTTGCTCTGCATTCACAGCAGCCTTCAGGGTCACCGTGTGCATGGTTACCTCCTTGGAAGACTGCTTATTTCACAGTGACCTTTGTGCCAGGTGACACATCTAGGTAACTAGGTGACAGGATACTTTTAGTTGAAAAGTATAATTAACTGTGGATGACAAGGGACAGAAGGAGCATGATTTGTGGCTTTTGGGGGGATTTAAAGATGACTGCTTAAATGCATAGGCAATGTGACCAGCTTCCAGTCTTCCACTGGAATTGGAATTCCACTGTTCTTAGCTGTCTCAGAAGCAGATTGAAAAAGACAACTCTGTATCCTGAAACCCTTAAGTCCAGGGACAAAGATGCTGCTGAGACTGCTCAAGCTGAGGAGGACTTTAATGTAATTACTGGAAATTTGGAATGCAAATTACTAATGATCACGGAGATTTAATTTAATTGAAAACTTTTTAGAGACTCTATATCTGGAACAAGGGCTCCAAAAACCTGTTTATGGAAGAGCATAACATCTCTTTAACAGGTGTGATATAGGGCTTGTAGAGGGATAACAACCTCCCCGTAACAAAATACATTACTGTTCAATAGTAAACAATTAACTGAAGTCTCTTTGGGAAACCCTAGTCAAGAATATTTCTGAATTATTTATATTTTAATTACGTTGCTCTGTTTGAGAAGTGTACATTCTTGGCATAATTTTAGCATACTTCAGGTGCTATTGGAATACAGAATAAAGGTTTTCTTTTGGGTTTGGTGTCTGTTTGGTTTGGGTTTTGGGGGTTGGGTTTTTTTACATTTACCACTTGTTTTTTTCCTGTGAACTTTGAAAAGTGTAGTATCATGCTTTGGAGGAGGTAGATGAGTTTATTTCTAGGAAGCTTGCAGAACAAGTGCAAAGGATTATGGTTTAAAAATATGTACTTTTTATTTACAAACACTGTTTTGATCTGTTTTTAAAGGCTAAATAGTAGTATGCTAATCTTAAAGCTCTTTTTTTACACCCTAAATTTTTATGTGTTAGACAAACAGGGAAATCAAAGATCTGAATCTAATTGGGATATACTTATAGCTTAAACAGTTTACTATACAGTTACTATATGAATTTATTTTCAGTTGCAGTTGTTTCTCAATCAAAACACTCAACACATGGTGGTTGGTTTCCTTCATTATTGATATGAACCTTTGTACTAGTTCCTCATCATCATTGATTATTCTTTAAAAAAGAAAGTTGATTCTTTTTATATGCCTGGATATGGAAACAATATCATGTATTTCCCAGTACAACTATTAATAGCCTCTCTACTTATGCATGATAAATTATTTATTTTAATCTGCACTAACAGAAACATAGGAATCACAAGTGCACTTGTGATTTTTTCCCCATACATTTCTTAGTTTGTCAATTCTAAATTGCTTACTTGTTGTCTCTTTCACTGATAGACAGTTTCTGTGGCAAGATGGTGATTCCAACTACTTTTAATATTTAAGAATATTTGAGTTGCTAACTTTTTGTACTAAAAGTAGCAGCTATGGGTAGGAATGTTTTAATGAGGGGTTTAAAGATGATTTAGTAAACCTGTAGATTATAGGTGAGGACTAGTAGATTGGGTCTTGCTTATGGAAGCCAGTATTGCCAGAATGTGCACAGCTTGAAATAGTTTGACCAACATTATCAGTTGACACGTATGACCCAGGCATAACCTTCGTGATCCTCATTTCCCCAAATTCTTTCAAAAACAAACAAGTCACTGTAGATTATATCTAGAGATCATGTGTTCTGGGACATTCTTACAGTTTATTAGCCTGATGCTGCTTGAACTCATTCCTGAATGTTTTCTTCTGTTGTTTTCCTCTGCTGTATTGGTGTTTCCAACAGTAAATAGTGATGACAACTAATTTTACACCCCAAACTTTTGAATTTTTAATCATTCCTTCAAATACCATACTGTCCACCCATATATTTCAGCAGTCTAGGCGATTTCTTTATTGTGTTTAAGAAAATTTACTGGAATTTTGGTGGTTTGGGTAGTTACATACAGATCAGGCCGCACATTTATTAAATACATCCTGAATTATGATTGGACCATAGTCTAAGTTCAGGAGAGCTCTTTGATCTTCACACACTTAGTTCTAGCTGAGACTTCTTGGGTAGGACCTAGTGTCTACTCATTGTACAGGGCCCATGTATAAGACACAAAGGAAGTGTTATTACATACGTAATTAATTGTATTTGTACTTTAGTGATGTAGGTTCTATACCATGTCCTTTACTTCTTAATGATATGTAAACATATACTAGGCACAAGCACTACCTCTTATGTACTAGTGGTCTGAAGACTTTTATTTCCCTGCTTCCTTACGGTACCAACTCCTATTCATCACTTGAACTTTTTTTTTCTTTTTTTTTCATTTCAGCCTAGCTTGAATGCACAAGAAAGTAAGATATTTTTATTATTATCTTTAAAGTGAAAGGTTTTACTTGAGGAATTTAAAAACAAACAAACAAAAAAAGCCCAACTAGCAATCTTATTTTCCAGTAACATCTCGACAACCTTTATAAAGATGCCAGTATTTCTTTAAATGTTTGCAAATATCATTAAGGTTTTTTTTTTTAAACTTTTTTTTTTACAATCTTTTTAAAAGGAATCTATTCTAATGAATGTATAAAAATTCATCATAGATAATAATTGTCAGAAGTTAGTCTTATTTCCTATATCCATTTGTTCTATTAAAACACACAATTAAATCTAGAAAATTACAAATGTGAGTCATTAGCTCTGAGGCATGTAACAGCCAGGCAAGCAGCCATGACAAATCCAGAAGTATTTAAATCTCTTGGTGTTAATAATAAGCATAGTAAAGATGTCACTAAACTTAAAATAAATCTGTTATAAAATGTAACTCCAGTTAACATGTAACATCTTGTGAGATTGTTGCTTTAGGGCAGCATGAGTGTAGACCCATGGTTAGTAAATGGTCTTACAAAGCGAGTAGTTAATATACAGAGGCCTAAAGCCTAGTTGTTTTAAGTGTGCAGCTTGCGTTGTCAAGAAACACTGTTTCCTGGTAGTTATATTTCTGTTTTTCTTTCTAGGGAGATGCCAAAAATCTTCTGGCCTCTGAGAATGTCAGCACTGGCCAAAAGTTGGACTTTTCAGATACAATGGTACAGCAGAAGCTGGATGAAATAAAGGACCAAATCAAGCGGGAAATAAGGAAGGAACTTAAAATCAAGGAGGGAGCAGAGAACCTCAGGAAGGTCACAACAGATAAAAAGAACTTGGCATATGTGGACAACATTTTGAAAAAATCAAATAAGAAGTTGGAAGACTTGCATCATAAGCTACAGGAGTTAAATGCGCACATTGTTGTAACGGATCCAGAAGATGTTGCAGGTACCATATGTTATTGTGAATTCAGTTTTTCCTCTTAGCTTAGATAAGCTGTATCCTATTTCACTTGAAAGAATTGCACTGCCAATGAGCAAATCTGTAGCTGGCAAGTTTGTTACTTACACTTGCTTATTTGTTTTGATTCACAAGTAAGTGTCCAGTCCCTTTGAGTTTTAAATTGTTTGCTGGGGAGCGCTGTATTTCATGCACTATTTGATGATGCTCTAAAGACTAACCTAACATGTACCAGTTCTTCACTTTCAGTTATTACTATATTAAAATATTTTCTCAGTCACTGTAATATTTCCTAATAGCTTTTCGCTGTATCAAAGCAAATTTTAGTACCTCTTCCAGCGACTTTCTCTGAGTTATGCTGAAGGCATCAGCATTAATACACCTTTTTATTTTAGGGGGGAAATTATAACATTTGTACTTAAAAGTTTTGGAGGTTTGGGGGGGTTTAAACTTAAATCTGACTTTTTAAAACTGTTTTTCTGTTACGCTGTTTATCTGACTAACCTATCAAACATTTCTTACTGTGTCAATGATTTGTTAAGTCTTCAGGGTTTTCCACAAGGAAGCTACCATTTTAAAGACAATTTGAAATTGTTTTCACAGAATGGTTGTAATTAATGGTTTTAATTAGTATTTTCTGTGGCATGGCATTGATGTATTTTTTAAAAACACTAGGCTTGGTAACTTAAGAAGGAATGTTGTGAAAGTAAACAGTCCTTTTTTAGCTTTGTGGAATGACTTGGGAGATACTGCTGGCCTGGTGATTTCACATTGCACAGACTCTTCTTGGCATAAAGGTTATTAAATGTGCATGTGCCATCGAAGGTATTTGTGAAATGAATGCCAAGCCTTAAGAAGCCTGGGCAGTAGAATAAAAGACTGCATCATCTTTGTGAAGAAAGGTTGGATACAGTGAGAATTTAGGAGAATGCTGGCAGGTGATGTCAGCAATTCATACTATCTGGCCCCGTGACATGCCACAGAAGTGTTGAAGTGTCCACAGTGGCCTGCACAGTATTCTCTGTATTCTTAGCATTTTTTGCTTTTGATCTTCACAAGATATAAGGGGCAGAGGGGGGAACAGCTGGAACTAGTGAGGCAAAGTAGTTGCTGCAGCATGATATGGGAATGAATACAGTAAAGTAGGGTTCATAGATAGCCATTGGGTTTTTAGTAGGCTTGAAGCGCTCTGTTCCATATCAGCTAAGGTTTATGAAAATCTGCTTCGGTGTTGACAGTAGTGTGGCTTTTAAAGGAACGGGAAGAGTGAACACAAAGAAAATTGTATACAGGCTGTGTATAGACAGAATATAAAAATCTGTGCAGACATAAATTTATGAAGTTAATTTAGTAGGACTTAAAAAGTGGATGAACACAGAATGCTCTTGTTGGGGTGCCCCCTTCCAGTGTAGCGTTTTAAAACTCTTACCACAATGAGTTAATGAGCTCTATTGTCCTTGTGCATGACTTGGGAAATGCAGTAGACCCTAAGAAAGCATTTACTAGTTCTAAAAAGATAGTTTGGGTACAAAGATCTAAATGTTGTTCAGATCCTTAGTACGCTTCTGAAAAGGCCAGCAGTGCCCATTGCTTTTGTGAGTAGCTGTTAGCAGCCAGGCTCATCTTGCCTTGTGTTTAAATACCAGAGACTTCATGAAAGGCTCAAGGGATAAAAGATCAACGTTGATAAAAGGCTCAAGGGATAAAAGATCAACGTTGATAAACGTATGTGCTTTTACCTGCTTTTGATGCATGCTAAACTTCTTAGTACTATGTTTTTAACTTTCATTCCATTCAAAGCGTTCTTGATAGATAGCTTTTACAGTTTTAATTATTGAAATATGCAAGGAAAAACTTACTAATTCTGTTGAGATCTTTATATTCTCTTTATAGTATCAATCAGGTATTCCTATAAGACCCGTTTTAATAGAATATATTGCATCACCTTCTGGAAAAAAAAGTAGTCTTTACTTCTTTTAATATATCTTTTTAGATCAAAGATCTACACGCACCCACCCTCCAAAATTGAAATGCTTGAGGGTTTTTTTTATATTATTTGCCTTGTAATTTAGTTGCCTGTCTTCTTCCTCATTCATAGTCACTAATTCTTGGAGGGGGAGTGCTATCAGTAAACGTTCTGTGTGTCTTGAGACAAATGGGTGCAAGTCATCTTGGTGAGAATCTAATTTTTAATACTGAAGTCTTAGGTTTGACTAAAGGTATTAGTGAGCTTGGCCTTTGCAACATAAGGTTGGTAATATAAAACTTATGACATGCCAGCTGTGTAGGTGTGTTTCTGTGTGTTTGTGTATATATACATGCACACATAATATTCAGCAAATACATAGACACATAGCCCTAAAGATCACTGCCATCTGACAGAAGATGCCTCTGTGGAGAGGTCACACGTATCTCTGTTTGGGAATTCTTGCTTTTGCTCAGGATCAACAGTGAATTTAATAATCACTTACTGATGAATATCAAGCTCCCTGAATGACTGTATTGTTTCCAAAGGTTAGCTTTATTCTAAGTTACAGCTTTTCACTTTAGCTTGTGTTTGACCTTTTTCTGGTTGGTTAGTGACAAATTAAAAAAAGAGAAGGAAATACATGAGAAATGTTTAGACTGTGCAGAGTATGAATGCTGAAAATAGGGTAAAGAGGGAGTGGGAGGGCTCTGGGAGTCAAAGTCTGTATTCTCTTTATGTACTTCAATATTTTTTGGGGTGGCCCTATGTTTTTCCCTGTCTTCTAGTGTATATTGTGTAGGGTTTTGCGGGTTATAAGTAGCAAAGTCAGGACTGAGATCCATTGAAAAGTAACATTGACAGAATCAGAGAGATGATCCCTTTGACCTGTCAGGCCTCACCTCTGAAGATTTTTGGACTGTTTCTGTTGACTGGTTGAAAGGTCATTGTGGTAATTTGGAAAAGTCATTTAATCTTTCCTTGTTCCTGTATCTGAAAAGTGGGTGTGAACATATATTTGTAAAGTGCTCCAGATTTAGAACTGAAAAGTGCCATGCATGCTGTTGTGACTCTTACTGTTGCTTATGGTATCAAGCAGTAACTTATACTACAATTTAGTGGTTCGTTAAAAAGGTAATGTAACTTCTTTGTAATCAGCACAGTGTAATCGATAAATGTTAAAACTATTAAATGTAGTGTTAATTAATCTACTAGTGTGGTTTAATAACATTCCATTTCAAACAAGTTAAGATGTTTTGATGGTAGTTTGCCTAAAGCTGAAAGCTTTCCATTTCCTAATGCCATAGGAAATGATTTTCACAACTGTTTGAAGAATTGGTATTAAACCTTAACCAAAAAGTGCATTTTGCCAAGAAGCTATACTACTGAATGTGAGGGTAGATTTGGCAGCAGATACATGATTCGGAAACAGCTCTTAGCACAGGTTTACTTTACACTATGGGGTTGCTGGTGAATCTAGATTTGTCTTAAATTGGGACTTTGTACCCAGGTCTGCCCTTATCGTGCAGTATATTAGTCACACTAGGACGCAGAGTTTTAAAATTTGTATGTCAGCACTTAAAAGTGAAGCAGAACGCAGCAATAGAAAATGAGTAGGACCAGCCTAGTGACCATTACTGCTGACAATCTGATAGATTTATTTTAATGTGTAACATGGGGATGATTACTTCAGTCTTAGAGATGAAGAAATTTTGTATCTTGAAAACATGCTTCTACACAGTAGCACAGATAAAATTGATGTTCTCTTCATGTGTCAGAAAAGTAGCAGTAGAGATTGTGGGTTTTAATATGACTCAGTGAGGTGTTAAGATTGAAATAGCTTACCTATAGCAAGTCACTGATTTAATTAGCATATAATTGATATGTGGGAGATATAAAAATTGAGAAATTAGTCTGTTCTATAGAGCTGAAGTAAAGGTGGATTGATGAGTGATCTCATCATGGTGAGATGATGGAAAAACTTTCGAGGGAATTGAGGAGGCTGGATAAAACATGGAAAACATGAAATAAAAAAGACAAGTTCGTGCCTCTTCCATTCTCCGAACTTCTAAGCTATCCACTTTGCATCAAATTTGGCTGTAGGTGTCACAAGGAAAATAATTTTGTTTAAGAATGTGACTAGCTGACAGGGGAGTGAGAGACTGTTCTGGGGATTTGTCTCTACAAATGACTGGCTTAATCTGTCAGATACCAAAGCGTCCATATAAGACCAGTTGCTGGAAACTGGTAGAGGTAGCAACCAAAGTGGTGGAAGTAGTGACATTTTTAGACAGCAGACTCCACCTACAAGGCTCATATCTCTAGGAATTTCATGGTAACTTTTGAGAACCTTAATGTAGAATAACATTATTGAAACAATCTCTTGTCACTTGTTTAGTAGTTAAAATTGACTGTTTCTGAATTGAAATTCATTTGAACTTCAGAAGTTTCCAGAAGGTCAGTGCTGGATGTTCTCCAAGTGCAGAATGTCCACTGCTGCTTTGGACTTACTGATGGCTTAGTTCAAGTGCTGATGCAACCATCTGACTGCCTGAGAAAAGCCTAATGATGGCTCGCTCTTTTCCTCTCCATCAATGCCTAAACATGCATCACAGGTGTTTCTGTTGGGTATGACACTGATGAGGCTAACTGCAATTAAATATCCTCAAATAAGATTAAAATTAACTATTTACAAAAGGGCACTTGCTGCTAATGGAGTAGCTTAGCAGCATGCTACAATACCATCTGGGATCCCAAATTCAGAACGTTACATGGGATCCTAGATTTTGCACTGAGCTTACTGAAGAAACTGTACCTAGCATCTGGGGAAGAGGCCCCAAAGGAACGAGCAGCAGTCTCAGAAGAACAGAGTTGTGTCACTACTCTAATAAATGTAATTTAGACAGGAGTGCTGGTAAAAGGCAACTTAGAAGCAAGAAGTTTTTGCTGGTGAGCACTATGTGAAGACTCAAACTGAAAAGGTTTTCAGAAGAGCAAAGATCATGGTTAAGATAAACATTTTAGACTGAAAACTGCCATTGTCCTGATGCAATCCAGACATTTTTTAAAAAATCTAGTCAGTTAAAGCATCACTATTAAGTTATTTTAAGTCTTATGAGTATATTTTAATGAAAACAAGATATTGCAGGTGCTGGGAAAGCAGTACTGCAGCTCTTCCAGCAGTACACTGGATGCATGCTAACAAGCTCCACAAAGCTAATTGATGTTAAGCAACAACATTCATAGTTGTTCAGCAAAAATAACATGCTAGTTACTTGAAATGAAGTCAAGTCTACTTGAAATACATCTGTGACTTCACTTGATAGTCGCTGTCAAGAAGAAAATGCCTAGGGGCACTGATTCATACCCTAGCAAAGCTCTTGCTGTCCTATGCCAAGTTGGACTTGAATGCATCCAAAATGGTAAGTCTTGTACTGTCCTTATTGACCCAACAAACATGGCAAACTGGAGAATCTCTTATTTTCCACAGTTCCTACTATTTGAGTGAAACATCAATTTGGTATGAGTACTTAACTCTTGTTTAACTTTAAGCATATGGATAAATCTCATTGATTGCAATTATCTGAATGAATTTATTACTTGTTTGTATTATGAAGATGACTAAATGTCTCCAAATGAAATTTGAGCCCCTCTGCATAGCACTTCACACAAATAGATCAGAGATAACTAGCCATATCGAAGTGATTACAACCTCAGTAGACATTACAGAGAGAGAGGGAAACAGCTAATACAGATGTAGCTCGTAGTGCTGCTGCAAAGATTGTCAACGCTTTCCATAATAGGACCAGTTTGTCTGGGTAATTTAAAACTTTAATCTGAATTCTTCTATAAGAAGCTACCTCAGGCTGCTTACTGAATTATAATGGGGTCAGGGGAGAGGAGGAGTCACTAGGATGCCATTTCTGAAAAGCTGTTGGTAAACTTTCTTTTTTTCTTAAAAAAAAAAACCCCAAAAAAACAGCAACCTTTGTTAAGAAACCACATTGTTCCATGTTTGGGAATTTAGTGAGCAGCTATTATGCCTGAAGGCAAAAAATTACTTCTTCCTAGCAATTAGTCCATACTGCAGAAGAGTTTCCTTTGCTGATGGTTACTAGCAAAGTGTATAGTAGAACCATGTAAACTAAATGATAGAGAGGAGTTTAGGTCCACAAGTGCAGACCAACTCTTGAGATGACCCAGGTAAGTGATGTTGTTACACAGTGCAGACGTGCAAAGGGAGATAATAACAGCTGCCTGGGCAACCTGAACCCTGGTATCTCTAATTAGTCCTTGGCTTGCAACTTGAGTGTTGTTTTAATGCAAAGGAAGACTGCTTGTGTGCATCTCTAAAAGCTGTGAAAACAGTCTTCAGGAGCCCCACAGTCTTCCCAGGGATCATCAGAGGGCTGGGTTCTTTTATGTAGTAGAGGCCTGCATCATAAATTTAAAGTTGGTAAATACTAATTTATATGATTAATCTACTTTGCAAGGAGACTTTTGACACTGTGACTTCTAAGTTTCACATTTGTTCTACTTTTGAATAGACTATTAGGTGAGGATTAGTTGAATGTGAAGACATAAGTGAGAGGAAAGCCTGTTGTTAATCTTTGTTTTATTAATAACACATTTAAGGTAAAAATGTTTAAGTGCAGTTTCAAAGAGAAACCAAGCCAAAACATTGAGGAGAGGATGAATGACAAAACAGATGAGGAATAACACAGATTTTTTTTTTTTCCCTTTAAAAAAACATCTGATATTTTCTGTACTACCTTTCAGTAGTGAGGATGCAGTAAGAGTCTTGAAGTGACTTTAAGAGTGAATTAGCAGCAGAGGAAATTAAAACTTCTTACATGAAATCTGTATGTAGCCTCAGCAAAGATTGCAATTTAGGAGGAAATTACACAGCAAACTTGAAAGTAAAATGTATTAAATCTCCAAAAGTAGTTATCAGAAGCTTCTGAAGAAGAAATATGAAACGGCAGATAAGACATCTCCTTCCAATGACACCTCTTAATTAATAATTTGTAATTTACTAGTGCAATGCCTATGTTTTCTAATAACTGAGGATTTCAGGAACTTGATCCATCATCTTAGTTTTAATTCAAGGAAAATTAATTAAAATTGAAAAAAAAAAAAAAAGACTGTACTGTTGGTATCAGGTAAACATTGTCTACCAGGAGACCAATTAATGTCATTTGCCCATAGAGAAGGTATTCTCTCAGTTGTTAGGGTAGAAGATATCAACAGCAAAAAACATTATTACAGTGGACATAACTTATCTTCTTTTACAAAAAAGTTTGAAAGACAAGCCATTGGGACTGTTAAGGAAGATAGCTAAAAGGACAGTCATGTTGGAAATAGTTAAGTCCTAGGAAGTAGTCCAGTGGTCACTTATTTTCAGTTCACTAGCAGTTCATGTTGCAGAAGCTGAAATACGAACCAGTGATTAATAGACTTGTCTGGAGGAGGATAGAAAAGTTAAGCAGTTTGACTATGTAATTTGATTGATAAAACTAACTTGCATTCCATTAAATTCATCCAGCAAGATGGAGATCTAAACACAGTAATGTTGTCAAACAAAAAAGCTTTATCTTTTCCGCATACCACAGTTGTTCAATAACTTGTCTGCCTATATATCCAGTTATCCCAGGATTCTGTTATGATTCCAGAGCAAAAATCGTTCAGATTTACAACTAAGGAAAATGTTCATTTTATCTGTGCTTAATTTTGACATAAGAGTGTCTGCAGTGTTCGCACTAGAATTGATGAGGATCTGCTTTATATCTCTATTTAGACCATGCTCATTAGTATTGAATATTATTGTCCAGGGTTTTTTGTTTTTAAAACACTTAAATTTAAAATCAGGAGTGTAAGAAAGCTTAATGGAAAACTGCATTTTTAATTGACTCAAGACATTCCAGAAGAAATAAATCTCCTTTGAAACGAAAATAGACCTAGCTGCAAACCTGCCTACTTTACCACTCCCGGAAGTGATTCATGTGAATTAGGACGCGTGTAGGAGTCACTAGGCTTTCGTGAGGCTTTTCATGTTAAGGCGCATTTGCAGTGCTGTTGCAAAGTAGCTCTGGACAGGAGGGTCAGTCTTAGTACCTAAGTATGATGTTCCAGCTTTGTTTAATCTATAACTTAATAGAATAGAGTTTAGGGTGTTTTGGAGGGGAGGGGTGTGGGTTCTGTGGTCTTTGGGGTTTTTTTTCCTTTTTTCTATTTTGCACGCTTTACATCTTACCTTTAATTCACAGATTGTCCTAGGACTCCAGATACTCCAAATAGCGATCCTCGTTTTCCTACTAACAACAGATTGATGGCCTTAAAGAAGCAATTGGATATAGAACTGAAGGTAAAACAGGGAGCAGAAAACATGATACAGATGTACTCAAATGGCTCTTCAAAGGTAAGGCTTTGGAATCCTTAAAAACATTAAATGACTGTGGATTTTCATATCGCTGTGGTGTGAATGTATAATGTAAAAACAGTATACAATTTCAGTATTTTTAGTTTGGGGTATATTTTTGTTAAATAGTTATGTCAAATCTGCTACAAATTACTATACCATTTTTTTTTGTTCTGGTTTGATACCCACTCAAGTAATTGTTTTATCAACTTATCCACATGCAGTTCAACCTAAATAACAAATCCGGCTTACTAAATTTAGTACATCTAGTAATCTTTGATCATGTGTGATTCACTTAGCAGCAAAGCTTGGTATGACACTGGTATCTGATGCTTTTCCTAGCTCCACTAAAAAAATAATCCATTAGTTTAAAGTCACAATGTGCATGATAATCACACAAAAGCCAGCATTGCCAAGTACGCTTCTGAAATCATCATGTAGTTGTAGTTGGCAGTAAAAAGATTTGTACCAAATATTTGTATTATAAGATGTGTATAGTATTCTGGTAGTTGTTATAGTCTGCATTAGTACACATGCACATAAAATACACATAAGAATACTTTTTTTACAGAAGTGGGGTATTCTAGAGGTAGCATCAAACTGAAATTAAAAATAAACCCATGCTTATCCCAAGATCTGAATTTTAAACACATACTTGCTTGCACTTACTCTCTCTTGATAGCACCAGAAGTTCTCCAAGGGCAGGGCAGGGGTGGTGTGTGTTTGCTAACCCCTAGATGGGTTTGACGAGTTACGTAGTCCTAACTATGTAATAAAATTCATCATACTCTTAAGAATCCCTTAACTCAAGTGAAAGACAAGCCAAACCTTTTAAATGAGGGGGAAGAAAAACCCCAACAAACCTCCATCCAAACCCAAAACCCAACAACAAAATCCCTTCCCATATTTTATGAGTGTAAGGGAGTCAGTTCTCAAATGAGAAGAAAGGGGAGCAGGAGGGGGGGATCCTCTACTTACCTGCCCCGTCACCCTTCATTAGTTACTCATTACCTGTTCTCTCCATTTACTTTTACTAAATCATTAAGGAGATGAATTTCCAAACTAAGGGGAAACACAAGCATAGATCTAAAATAGTATGTGGTAGCTTGGTTAGATGTTTCTGTATCCAGACAATAGGAAAATTGAAGTGTGTTAAATTCTTAACTGACTGAGCCAACACCTAGCTAGGTCAGCAAACTTAAGAAAAAGTAGTGTTTGACTTGAAGAGTAGACATCTGTGAATTGCGTTGCTACCCCGTCTAATTGAAACTAACCAGAAAGTGTTGGAAAGGAACTTCATGTACTGGGTGAATTTCTGCTAAGGACTGGTGGAGAGGCAGATTACTTTGCATCTGCCTACTGTATGACTTTTATACCTTGAAAAAATTACAGCAAATGCTGCTCGCTCCCAGAAAAATGAGTTTAGACTGGATGGACCATAGGTGCTATCAAGCTCATTCTGTTCCAGCAGCATTTCTGTTGAACCAGTGGTACTGTAGTAGCTGTATTGGAAAGTGACCTGTAGCCTACTGGCCTGGGCCAGATGGAAGCAATCTCTGGAGTGCACCTTGTGACTCAGGGCCTGGGAATGCTGTCCATGCACCACAGTCCCTCAGCTCCTGGAAACCCTGGAGTCTACATCCTCTGGGCCATGTACTTAACATCAGGTACACTTAAAAATAATAATAATCAGCTGACCTAAATGGATCAAAAGGCATACATGAATTATGTTCCTAATAAACCCTCAGTAAGTAACCTTATAACAGCCCAAAAAAGGTAACTAAACACTCAAGCTATAATATTAGACATTGTTAGCAGGCTTTGATCGGACTACGAAGAAAGGATAAATTCTGGCTTGCTTTGATTGAGGCATGTAATTAAAATTGATGATCAGATCTTGTATTTGCAATTGGTAAATGCTTAGATCAGCGTACCAGATTTGGTGTATATACTAACTGGGCAGGGGAGAGCAAGCTGGAAAACACAAAAGCATTGCCAGCTGCTTCAACAAACAGGATGGAAATGGTGCGTATTAATTCTCTGATGTTCTTAATGCTTAGTAGTGAGTTAGTTAATTTGGCAGGTTTAAACCGTAGGCTTGAGCATGGTGATTACAGTTTTAAAAGCAGAGCTTAAAACAACTCATGTGCCTGGATGAGGTGGGCAAAAAGGGCAGAAAATTCCCAGTTTGAATCCAACCCTGGTAATCCAGTAGTTCTTTAAAAAGTAGTCACAAGATCCTCTTTAAAACAAACTCTTTCGTTACCTTTTTTCAAGTGTACTATACAATCTAATTTCAGATCTGTTGTATTTCCAGACCTAAATTTAATGGAGGGAGGTCATTATTTGTTTCCTAAAAATGAAGCAGCAGTCTGTTAATAGTGATAAACCCATCCTCTTGTGGGGAGGTTTTCCCTTTGTACTTACTCCACATGCTTCAGTAACATTCAGCTCAACCTATTCAGACTTCAGTGTTTCTGAGATACTGATCATCTTTCCTTGGACTTGTGTGGATTCTCTGAGATCCCATGACAGCTTTGCAGATCAGTTTTAAAGGCACTGTCAGATCTTCTGTACTCAGGAGATGCCTTGAAATACTTCGTATTCAGCCTCAAACGCTAAAGGAGCTGCTTGGGTATAAGACATCCATTTTGATTCTGAAGATGGGATTTTCTGTCTCTTGAAAACGTAAGGATATCTCTATAATCCTGAATTACCTCCTTTCTACGCATTGAAGGGCTGATGTTGCCCCTGAGCAAGCAAATCCATTGCAGTAAGAGGATATGAGGGACAATCAAGAGCAGCAAGATCAAAAATAAGATAAAAGTAAAGATACAGACAAAGAAACACTTACAGCATATTTATACATCAGAATGATGCATGGATAAGGTTTAATACAGGGTTCTAGAGTTGCTTGTAATCTGTTACTTAGAGCCTATGCTCTGCTGTAGACACAGGTTGTTTCAAAAGTTGACATTTGTATTTGAGAAGGCAAATTCAGTGTACTCATTAAATAATTGGATAGCTAACATGGAATCTTAAAATATGAAAAGTAGTGGTATCCCTCTGAAATGTTGATTAATACTGAAACTTAAAACCAAGAGTTTTGAGACTATGGTATGCAGGGGTGGCACAATTTCTCCCCATGCAGCCAAAGCCTTTTTCTGTGTATGTCTTGGTGTATCTACCCTGTAGAACATAGGGCAGCATTAAAATATCTGAGTAATACATTAGGCAAAAGGTCATAGAGGAGCTCTATGAAGGTGAATTTCTCTCTTCTCAGACTACTGATTTTTCTCCCAGTATACTTCATGGTGCCAGTATTTCTAGCTCTGGATATCCATGCTACACTGCAGTTCTTTGTCTTGGTTGTGGTAAGGGGAAGAACTGAATTTCATTAGCTTCTTAAATAATTGATAACTTCAATATAAAATTAAAAATATAAGTATAAACCATATCCATGGGAATGTAACTTATCAATGAGGTTATAGAGTGGCTATAAAATGAGTTAACCAAAATACTCTTTGGACTATAACAAGCGTGATATTCATCTACACTGACTACTATTGATTACTGTCATTGGTTGGTACTGCACAGACAGGACAAACAGACTGCCTTAAATTTTCTTATACCCCTTTTTTGTTCTTACTGCAAGTCAGGTCACCTTTAAGTTATCTGGTAATTCCCAGAACGTATAGAGCGAGCGATGCAGCAGCCATAGAAGTGCAGGCACAGTTCCACATCTGAGAACCATTTGATAATCCATTGTAAGTCAGATATCCAGTAGCTGGAGGACAAAAAATGGTATACCTGGGAAACATTTGGATGGACGGCTGTGCTCCTGGCAATGAAGTGGTATTATCAGTTAGTTTGAAAGTTCATCTTCAGAAATGTTCTCTTCTAAACTGCTGCTTGTGTTACTGCTTTTGAAAACAAAAATTGGTTAGCTTAGTTTATTTAGATGAAAAGTACTGTACTTCATTGGCTATTTCACCAGCAACTTAAAGTAACCCTCCTTTATTATGTATGTATTAATGCAAAAAATCTTCAGCTTTGATTTGTTCAGAAAAACATACTGCAGACTTATTTATAATGTGACATGTAAGCTAAGTTCATACTTCTAATTTCAAGATTGAAAATCAGCTCAAGTGAATTCATGCAATGATTTTTATATGGATTTAGTCTAGCAAATTTGTCTTTTAGAAGAGTTCTTAGCATGTTCACAGTAAATTTGAGTTGTTCTACATAGAGTGGGGGTATTTTGTGCTTAATATCTTGTCCTTTCTTTAGTATCAGCTTATAAAACATAATCTACACATGTAATGTTGCTAGATCATGCCTCCTTTATTCAGCTTTAAAAGGATAGTTTCCATGGGAGTGGCTTACAGTCTTTAATCAACCAGAATATGCGTCTGTCCTATCTTAATTTCCACTAATATCCTAACGTGGTTAGTTGAATTGGTCTGCTATACTGAACAAACTATATAGATTTAGTTCTTGTTCCTAAGGCATGTGAGTTTTGAAGCTTTCAATGTGTTTTGTCCATGCAGAGTTTATGACTTTAACTTGTTTGTTTGTTTGTTTTAATAGGATCGAAAACTTCTTGCCACAGCTCAGCAGATGCTCCAGGACAGCAAGACAAAAATAGAAGTTATAAGGATGCAGATTCTTCAGGCAGTCCAGACCAATGAATTGGCTTTTGATAATGGTGATGGAGTAGAAAGGAATTATGAATAATTAATGTCAGAATGCCATGTAGATATGTACCCATATGCACACAGAGTTACCATAAATTTCTAGAAGGAATGTCAGACAAAGCTTGTATGAACCAAAACAAAATAGGAGACTAGGTATACCATCATGTGTGTTAGGATGCCAAATACATCGGACTTAACACAGAATACCTTAAGCTTAATGAAGAGAAATACAACCTCTCTTTATCATCCTTTTTATAAATGCAGTCCATTTTACTTTGTGGTCTTTGTTCTCCCTTCATGCATGCTTTCTTTTGTCTTAACAATAACTAGTAATTTTCTTTAAAGCATATAATCTTTTCACTATCCTAAAAAAAATAAATAATCTGATGCAGGTACAAAGCCTGCTTGTCATACTTTAAACAGATTGACCTTATTATTACTAATGGGAGCACAGATGGAGGCGAATTCTTGCTGTCTTTACGGGTATTTAGGCTAGATTAAGTAGTAAACAACTATTTTAAAGACAAAAAAAATCAGTGGTTTTAAAATGACCTGACTTGAAATACTCATGTTGCATTTCAGAAGTAGTTTTAAACTTGCATTTCTTTAGAAATCTTTAAATAAATTTTTTAAAAAATAAATAAACCCTGCGCTATAATAGCATGAGCATACTATAAAATTGTGGGCATATCGGTACATCTCTAAGTCTTGAACTTTATTCGTATGCATTTCTGAGTATTGAAGTTGTATGACGATGCTCATAATCAGGGTCTGGATATATCCTAGATAATGAAAAACTTGTGTGTGTGTGGTTTTGTTTTGTGGGGTGTGGAGGGGTTGGGTTGGTTTTTACACTTACCACACTTCTGGCTTTTTTTTAACACCCCATCATAGCACATGGATTCCTTCAAATGCAGATGCTTAATACGTTGCTGTTGCTTTTGACATCGTCAAGCTTTTCTTTGGACTACCAAATCTGCGTCTCTCACTTTTCTTTTTTTCTTTTTTTTTTTTTTCTCCCCTCTGTTTAGATGGGGAGAGGGGTTGATATTAAAGAAATTAAACATGGGCGTGGTCTTCAATGAAGATTGTTTGTTTGTATCTCTTTGCAGCAAAACCTGTGATAAGCCCTCTTGAACTCCGAATGGAAGAATTACGGCATCATTTTAGGATAGAGTATGCTGTAGCAGAAGGTGCAAAAAATGTGATGAAATTACTTGGATCTGGGAAAGTTACTGACAGAAAGGCACTTTCAGAAGTAATTTACATCATTACAGTTTCTGATACTTTAATTTAAATGTTCTTTCAAGAAAAAAATGGAAATATTTCAATTTTTTTTTTATTATTATTTTAAAAAGGCACAAGCAAGATTTAATGAATCAAGCCAGAAGCTGGACCTCTTGAAGTATTCACTGGAACAGAGATTGAATGAACTTCCTAAAAACCATCCCAAAAGCAGTATTATTATAGAGGAGCTTTCATTGGTCTCTTCACCCACATTAAGTCCTCGTCAAAGTGTAATATCTACTCAAAACCAGTATAGTACACTGTCCAAACCAGCAGCTTTAACAGGTATGATTTATGGAGCTTTTTTACTATATTTTGTTAAATGGTTTAAAACAAGCCTTTAATGCTAACTTTATTTCTTTCTGGATGTATTTCATTGTTGTTCTTTTCCTAGACAAAGGCATTTACAATTTCCAAGTGTCTATACACCAAAAAAATGCAGATAAGTTTCTTTGATTTATTTGTTGACCTTTTTATAATCCTGTTGAAAAAGTGAAGTTCTGGCCTTAAGTTAGGTCACTGTGGAATGATATTACTAGCGTTTACCTAACGCCTTTCATCTTTAGATTATCAAGCACTTTAAAAGGTGGGTAAGTATCATTATCCCCATTTTACAGATGGGGAAACTGAGGTGCAGAAGGGTTAAGTGACTTGCCCTGGTCATACAACAAGTCAGTGGCAGAGCTGGAGATAGGCACCCAGCTTTTCTCCCAGTCCCTATTTTACGCACTGGACCACACTGGCTTCCTAGAAGGTGAGATTTACGCTACCAAAACATGTGTTATATTTCTAAACCAAAGAGGGAGATCCTAACAAACACGCATGGAACTATTGAAGCCTCTGTTTATTGGTATGAATTGTTTTCCTTGCAGTTAAACGTGGAGATTTTCTGATTATTTTTTTAAGACAGCCTACTGTGAGGGAACAGTATATTCATATACATAAATGTAAGATTTAGGAACTTCTCGTAGTTTGGGTTCACCTGGAATTGTTGTCTTTCATTGGAAGTAAAGTATTTCAAGTGAGCCATACATTAACAAAGCTCTTGAACATTTGCCTCCCAGTGTTCTCAAAGAAAAGCAAACACTTTTGACTACTTGGAGGTATGTTGTTTTACTAAATTTATATAATAAGGGGTCGTATAAGAATTACTAATACAGATAGGTTTGGTTTTTTGTTTTGTTTCCTAAAACATTTTACATGTAACTATTAAACCAACTATTAACAGAGTAAGTTTACTACAAAACCAACCTGTAATTCAAATGTTACTCTGGTTATACATGTGTAACTGAAACCAGAATTTAATTTCGAAGTGCTGTGGGTTTATATTTTAAAACAAAAAGAGGAACTCTTCTGCTGAGCTGCAATAATAATAAAATGGAGCAAGTCTCCTTGCCTTCCATCTTAGTGTACTAAGACACATAGCAAAGGGTAAAAAGCATCAGGACCTCAGCCAAGAGTGCTTGTAAAGTTGCAGAGTGGTGAGGGGAAATTTTTTTTTCATCAGATGGAATATCAAATGATCAGTGACCATGGACAGGAAGTATCATGCCTTGGTTGTTTCAGAACAGCTTTTTTAAATTCTTTTCTTGTAATAAATAATCATGGGCCAGATACATTATAGTGACAAATAATTCCTCTTTAAATGTGATTTACTGATATATATGAACAGTTTCTAATAGGAATTATCGAAACAGTGCTACATGCTTGTAAAGTTCTTAATAGTTTCACTTTCACATTGGCTACACAAAGAGCTTTTGTATTGAACTGGATATAAATGAACGGTGTCTTTGTGTTTAGCCTCTAACACTTTGTGAAAAATAGATCAGTACTACTGCCATACTTTTTAAAGTGCATCAACAGAGCTTTCTGGTATGCATCCAGTCCTTATACAAGATTATAGCCTTTCTGCTTATTCATTTATTTTATTTTTTTTAAACAGAGTTTGGGACTGAAGTCGTCTTTTACCTTTTTAAACTGGTTTGGGAGCCAATAGCATCTCTTTGTCTTCGTAGCCTAATGCATAGCTGTCACTTACGGCTGTTAGTTCCCCATAGGATGGGATTTCTTCTCAGACTGGTTTCCTGGTGTATATCCTGTGGAATGTAATGTTGCCGGACCATTTTTAGGTCAAGTCTGACTTAAAAGTACTCTTGTAACAGAAACTTAAGTTCCACACTTAAGTACGTTTCCTGTCAAAAGAACACTGTATTTAGGAGCTGCATTTCTAGCTGACAGTATGATTATGACCTGGCTAATTTCACCACTTCTAATAGTTAATTTTGTTAGTGTCAGTGATGTCGCAGTTTTACAGATGCTATCTTGTGCAGGATGAGGCAAGCCTACCGTTCTTGTAACCATCTGTGGTGTTCAGATGTTTCTGTGCTGCTGGAGGAAACTCTCTTAAATTAGAACAGCAGTCTCTATACCTCATTTGGTTAAAGACATAGAAGATTTTGAAGAGTAGCTTCTTGACTCAGCTTTTATAAATCCAAATTCAGTCAATGGGCCTGAAGTTGGAACAATTCAATGATTTTAAATTATGTACTCTGATTTGACTTTAGCATGCAGCAGGCAAGTGTGATTTCTGAATGTATCTTAAACAAATCTGTAGTCTCAATAGTCAATGTGTTCATTTTAATTACCAAAGCGATCTATCCAATATTAATTGGTTATATGAAACTCATGGAAAATTGTTATTGTCCCATCTGCAAGATCCATCATTTTGATAAGAAACCTAAGATTTGTCATCTTAAAAAAATAACATCACTTACAACTTGAACCCAAGTCAGTTAGGTTACTAAGTGAAAAAAACAAAGATACTTGAGAACAGAACAAAAACTTATTTTGTGTTATTTTGGTGAACTGTTGCTCCTTCTAGAAGGTCGAGTCCTACGTGTTTGACTTTTGATGCTTATGTTCAGTATATTTGTCTGTCTTGGGTCCGTCTCTTGATTTCATCTGATAGTTCTGTTCTACCCTGCGGGGGTCAGAATGTGACCTATTGCCATAAATCAATCATTAGTCATTCGCTCTGTACACTTAAGAACAGCAGTCTTTGATAAATCATGGTATGTCTTGTTCTAGGTACTCTGGAAGTTAGGCTAATGGGCTGCCAAGACATTTTGGAAAACGTCCCTGGTCGATCAAAAGCCACATCGATTACGCTGCCTGGTTGGAGTCCAAATGAAGCCAGATCATCTTTCATGAGCAGAACCAGTAAAAGTAAAAGTGGGAGTACTAGAAACCTCCTGAAAACTGATGACTTGTCCAGTTCAGTATACTCTTACTTCTCTTATTTTTATGCATATCTTTTATTTACATTTTCATGTGCATGTTGCATTCTGTAATTTGAAATTCTAAATTGATTTGAAGCTTTAAACTTACCTGTTTCTTCATCTGTCAGGTTGTTTAAAAAAAAAAAACCCAAACAAAACCACAACCACACTATTATGCCATAAGAACCAATTAAATATGAGATTATATTTTTAAGGGAAACTTACTGAAGATTTTTTTTTGTTTGTGGGAAATCCTCTTAAAGATTTAAGCTGAGTTTGTGTAATTTACTTACAGATGAAGTCTGTGCTGTACTGAAGTTGGATAACACTGTGGTTGGCCAAACTAGCTGGAAACCTATTTCCAATCAGTCATGGGATCAGAAATTTACACTGGAACTAGACAGGGTAAAAATGTGGTCTTGCTTCATTGACGGCTGTAATCGATTCTTCAGATTAATTTCATGTTGTTTTATTTATTTTTTCCTGTTGTGGTTATGTTCAAATTTCATATGTGTAAGTATTCCCACTCTTAAAAGAATGACCAATTCTGATCAGTTCTTCAGGAACAATAAATAAATTGTCTAATAGTTCTTTCCTAGAACTTTAAATGTTACTTGGAGGACGCAAGTGTCTGAAATGATACTTGATGTTTCTTTCCTCACACCTTTTGAAGAGAATTTATGCTATATAGGTTTAATCAAGCATTGTTTTTTTAGATACCTGATAGTTGTAGTATTTTAAGGTACAAGGATTTTTTTTCCATCAGTGTTTAAAATAGACTGAAAATTAAACTATATTTTAGGACCCTAAATGTCATCTCCAGTATGTATTTTAAGCAAATGAGAAAAAAAAAATATCAAACAACACAAAAAACAAACCCACCTTCCTGCTCTTGCTCTCTCCCCACCTTACCCCACCCCTCCTAGCCTAAAACCAGATTCCTTCCATCTAGGAAGGAAATCGTTTTAGACCTGCAGGTAGAAAAATTTAGGATCCGGTTAGGAGTAGCACAGAACAAAACGTAGCAGGGGTGGAGCCCTGAAGCCTTGATTCTTCTCAGATTAAGACTAGAACAGGTCAAAGTTTAGCAGCAGCTCCTACCAGCCTAGTATATGTCCTGTTCGCTGTTTAAGAACTCAGTATTAGATGCTTTTTGGTGCCAGAAAAGGACCTTGCTTCTGCTGGGTGTGACCACACATCCTTCCGTATTTGAAATGCATATTCCAAACCCCATCATGTTTTTATCTGTGGCTTCTTAACTGTAACCTACTTAACTCTAGGTAGGTTACAGTTAGGTTTTAAAGCCTACAGCTGTCATATAAAGACAGTAAATTGATGCATTGTGATGGAATTTAACTATGCTAACTGAACTTAGTAACATACAATGCTGCTGTTACATTGCATTGCAGGATTCTTCATATTTTGTAACACGTTTGTAAGACACACTAAGATTATATAAATCCCACCGGCAAGATAAAGCAGTAGTTCTTGTTAGTTTAAAGTTTTTAGCCCTTCTTCACAACCATATTACAAAACCTGTATGCATTCTAGAGATACTGTGAAGTCTTGCATCATGATGTGTATGCATGTACTGAAATGTCACTATGCAGCCATGAAATATAATTGATATGTGTACATAACATGAAAAAATAGTAAAGTTGAGGTTTATAAACACATGTAAAAGTTTGTTGTCAGAGCTTGAGCTCAAATATCATGAACTAGCACTGTTGTTAGACTGACTCAAAAAGTCTGGTGACTGTGACTCTCTCATTCTACTCTTGGTGGAATTTTACACTTACACTTTTATTTGAACACAAGAGATCACATCTGAACTGAAGTAAAATGCTACGATCATCCTAGTGAGAGCTTGCTGGGTATGGCTGCTTAGCCCTGGCACTCTTTTAAAAAAAGTAACAGCTCTGCCTCTTGGTCCTTGAGTTGCTAGATCTTATGATTGTACAGAGGTAACTCTTGGAGAACAATTACTAATAAGTAATTTCCTGTGTATATGTTTCCTGTCATAGTCACGTGAGTTAGAAATCTCAGTTTATTGGCGTGACTGGAGATCTCTGTGTGCAGTAAAGTTTCTGAGGTTGGAAGACTTCCTGGATAACCAACGGCATGGCATGTGTCTCTATCTCGAACCCCAGGGCACTCTGTTTGCAGAGGTAAGAATGTTTCTTTGAAACACTTGAGCACACTTGCAAGTATTATGTTGCAGAATAGTTTAAGAAGTTTTTCTTAAACTTAGAAGAATACATTTTGTTCTGAAACTTGAATTATAACACACATTGTTTGAACTGCAGGTTACGTTTTTTAATCCAGTTATTGAAAGAAGACCAAAACTCCAGAGGCAGAAGAAAATTTTTTCAAAACAGCAAGGTAATTGTTTAATATAAACATGTAAAACTTAAAAACTGTACAGATCTGTGATACTTTTTATACAGAGACCTAATACTTGTCTGTGAATAGAGCTGTTGGTAATGAAGGATTTAGCATTGCATTTAGAAATGTTTTAGAATTCCTTATTATGTATTAGCATTTAATAGTGAATAATTAGGAATTGCTAAGGAATATGACAAATTCAGTTTGTTCTTCATAAACTATAAACTGATTAATATGAATTTTTTTTTTAATTATAGCTTTTGGTAATAAGTAAGGAAATTACTTGCATTCTATTTTCTTTTTTCACAATATCCACAGGCAAAACATTTCTCAGAGCTCCTCAAATGAATATTAATATTGCTACTTGGGGAAGGCTGGTAAGAAGAGCTATTCCAACAGTAAATCACTCTGGCACCTTCAGCCCTCAAGCACCAGTGCCTGCTACCGGGCCAGTGGTTGATGCACACATTCCTGAACTAACCCTGCCAGCCAGGTAGGCCATATCTGTAATTTTTAAGTACTTGTAAGAGCAAGAACAACAGTGAGATGCTTATGCCCTAATGTACATGGTGTATGTCAAATCTGTTTATTCTGCAAGACTGCAGACCTTTCAGTGTTTTAATTTTGGACATCCATTTTATAGACAGATAGACACACACAAGATTTGGGCTGGGAGAGGTCTACCTAAGGTGCAGTTTTAAGGTATTTTTCATACTGTTAAATCAGTCTCTGCTGTGCACTGACAAGTTGCTTATTTTCTTGCCAGTGACTCTCCTGTAGCCAAATTGGACTTTGAACTTGAGCCTGAGCCTCCACCTGCTCCACCCCGTGCATCTTCCCTTGGGGAAATATGTGAATCTTCCTCTGAGATAAAGGCTCCTGATGTGACATCTCAGGCAAGTAACTTTAAGCATTTTGGGTTATACAGTTTAACAAAGTTGTGATATTGGCATCTTTATGATGGATTTCTTCCCTTATCTTCCAGCGTATGCTCCCTTAACTTATACAGAATCGTTGCAACGGAATGCTCTCGTTACTCTTAGTGGGAAACTGTTTCCATGGTTGGTGTGTTTAACTCTCCATGTCACTGGTTCTACCACAGAAAAAACAAAAGTCTGAGATCATTTGAGTATTCATGAAAAAATGGGTTTACTAACAAAGAGCAGAATGACTGGAGCAGTAGGTTTCATTAGTCTGTTAAAAGCTTATCTGTATCATGTTAAACTTAAGCCATTTTAGCTTAGATAATTCTTGTGTTAAGAATTTCACATGCTTATAGTAGATTTCCTGCATTCATTTGCCTTTGCAATCAGTTTTAAAATGTCAGACTTCTTTTTCTTCACAGGATGAAGTAACAAGTTTTGATTTTGAAAATGGCAGAAATAGTATTGTCCCAAAACTCCAGCCTGAAATAATCTGTGAGACTGATGCTCCCCATTCAGACATAAAATACACGAATGCCCGAGAGCCTGAAGATAGAAGGTAAAAGTGCAGTGGATTTGCTGTTGATCTGAATAATATTTCTTAAAGTTAACAAACTAGAAGTTTTTTGACTGGGTTTTTTTTATTTGGTTTACACAGATCACAACAAAGATTTCAATTCAGTCTGAAGGATTTCAGATGTTGTGCTGTACTGGGCAGAGGACATTTTGGAAAGGTAAATGTCAAAAGGCTACATCAAATGTCAAGGCTGTATCAAAAACTAGATATAGCTCATAAATTAATTGCTTATCTTCTGTTTTAGGTGCTGTTGGCAGAGTACAAAAACACAAATGAGATGTTTGCCATTAAAGCCTTAAAGAAAGGGGATATTGTCGCTCGTGATGAAGTAGACAGGTCAGTTTGTAAAATACAATACATGGATTCCATAAAGCAGTTGTGTTTTTCATTCTGCATGCAACACAACTGTAAGCTCTACCAAACAGTAGTTGAATTCAGTGAAAAGAGCAAAACAAGCTGTCAGCTCCTTGCGTAGTGGCCTGCTGCAGAGGTGTGGTCTTTCTTCTGGGGCAGGGAGGGAGCAGGGTAGCCCAGGAATAGTGATTCCTTTTAGTGCCCCTCTTACCATGCCTCTATTAGAGCTCTGACTTAAAGTTGATCCTGGTTTTCATTTAGATTCTCTTGCAATCATTTATTCTAATTACTTGTTTATAGACTTCCATCGCATTTCAGTAGGACAACAACTATGTTTTCTTTACTGACAGAAACACCTATGGTGGTGTTTCTCAACCTGTAACACACTGTTATACTTTGTCCCTCATATTTTCCCTTAAGTCCTGTGTATATTCCACTGTTTGTTGGGTTTTTTAAATTGTTTTGCCCCAAACCTCACATTTTTCTTTGCTTGGAAGTGAAGCAGCCGTTAGAAAACTGTCTAGTTTTAGTGCAAGAAGGTGTTTTTATAACTGTTTAATAGTGACTATGTTAATTTAACTTGCAGGAAGGAAAGATAGCTGTATTAAGATTAAGCTACAAATTAACCAATTGGCTTAAGGAGAAATAATCTGGAATTACTATAGATAGATGTCTATAATATTGTTACTGTTTTTCCACTGTATGTATTGTATACCATGAAATTAAAAATGGATTGAAGCTAATGTCCCATGGTATCAATGCATACTTAATGCAAGTCTGAATATTTGGAGGGAAAATTGGCAGGGTACAATTTTCATAGACTGCTAGGTTTCCTTTTTCATTTGTGAAAGCTAAATGCAGCTTTATTGAAATTCTGGCATGTACTTCATGTGTGTGCAAGTATTAAAAGCTGTCTCTTGAAACAAAAAACGTTCTTACCTTATCCTGAGGAATAGAGGAGGAAACATAAGGTATAAATTACCAATAGTTTCTGAGTTGAAAATTTGTGGTTCAGGATTCAGCTTTAAATTTTTACTGATTTTTCTGTTTGCAGCTTGATGTGTGAAAAGCGTATATTTGAAACTGTGAATAGTGTAAGACATCCCTTCTTGGTGAACCTTTTTGCTTGTTTCCAAACCAAAGATCACGTTTGCTTTGTAATGGAATATGCTGCTGGTGGGGATCTGATGATGCACATTCATACTGATGTCTTCTCTGAACCCAGAGCAGTGTGAGTATCCATCCCTTCTTGTGCCATGAAGGGAAGGGCATTTTGGTCAGCGGATAAGAACTAAGATCTTTATCACCACATCTCTACATTATGTTATTTCAGTAAATACTCTAAGCTTTTTAAAAGGGTCAGAGATTCTAACTGATTTTCTTAGGAAGACACATGCAGGTTTAATGTGCCTGAATCCACACTGAATTCAAAAACTATATACAAATATTTAATGTTTATAATACTTTTTTTTAAAAAAGATTATGTAAAAAAGCTAAATGAAAAGTTAAAATAGCAGACAAAGCTAATAAAAGGAAAGAATAAGCCAAATTAGAAATCCTTCAATGCCATGGCAGTGGCCACTACAGAAAACCTCCAGGCCAAGCAAACACACTACAGCTTGAAAGTTGCAAGTTTAAGTATTTTTGCCATCTGGCTTTAAAACTTTGACCTTGTATTAAACTAATCTGTACCCGAAAAAACAGTCGGTAATCTTTAGAGGATGCTTAATAAAACAGATCAATAATAATGGACTTCACATTCTGAAGAGCAAGGCTAAAGTCCACTGAAATTTTAACTTTAACTTTTCCAACAGATTCTATGCTGCATGTGTGGTTCTTGGACTTCAGTATTTACATGAACACAAAATCGTGTATAGGTAAGTAATTATTGACCCAATTCCAACAGAGAAATTTCAGCTATTCTGAATAGTACTGAGGAACCATCAATGATGCAATTTTATTCTCAAACATTCATTTAGAGATTTGAAGTTGGATAACTTATTGCTGGACACAGAAGGCTTTGTGAAAATTGCTGACTTTGGTCTTTGCAAAGAAGGTAATGGCCCTTACATTTTTCTTTCTCAGGAATTCCATAGTGTGTCTTACTCTTGACTGTTCGTTGAGACTTTTGGACTGCCAAATGTGTATGAAGTATACTTACCCTGTATCACCTGAAGGAAAAAGTACATCTCTGTACAAATGTGGAGATAGGAGAAAGTTCCTTAGTAGGGAAACATCAGGAGCATCTGAATATAGTCCTATTTTTCTTTTTAAATTTTTTTGTTGTTGTGAGCATCACCTATTCTGATTCTTACTTCATCATATCTCTGCTTATTAATAAGGCATACTGCTGCATTTCATAAGGCCGCAGAAAAAGCATTGGGTGGTTTTCCTCATTCTAAACATGTTGACACTGTGCAATGAAACCAAGTCCCATTATAATCCATACCTCACTCTTACTTTTTTACAAATTCATTATCTACTTTTTTAACTCTGAAGTAGTCGCAACGCTAAGTATAAGTAGTCGCAACGCTAAGTATACTATAGTTAAAATAGAGAAACGTATCCCAAAAGGGAAGTCTAGACGCTGGAAAGTTACTTGTAGTGTCCTGTCAGTCTGTGTGGTGCTGATGGTCCAAACTGCCCCTCTTGGACCATAACAGGGCTTGTTTTGCTCACAGTTGTTTCACTACACTCCATGTTTTACTTTACTTAGATACAGTTTTGCCAGTACAGAAGCATCCATAGTAGGCATGTTTGACTAAACTAGCATACCACGTTTTCTTCTACTAGCTAGTAGAAATATAGCATAGGATTGTTTGTATCTTTCTGAGCAAAGATAACTGGGTGACAGAGGTGTAACCAGAAGCTTAATTTGGCTCGTTGCATATAGCTGGGGATAGAAAAACTTAGAGTGAAGCACAGGTGGAACAAGGGTGTGGGAGGGGAGAACGGGGGCATGTTTCACCTCAGGGGCCTGAGCCTTCAGGGTAGGAACTACAGTAGTGGCTGAAGTTGCTCTAGAGAGGAGTTTTACTTGCTGAAGGAATAGGTTGTAGAGTGGCAGAAAACACTGCTTGCTTTTCACAAACTGTAACTTTTCAGGAATGGGATTTGGAGACAGAACAAGCACATTCTGTGGCACACCAGAATTTCTTGCTCCAGAGGTGCTGACAGAAACTTCCTATACAAGAGCTGTAGACTGGTGGGGTCTTGGTGTACTTATCTATGAGATGCTAGTGGGTGAGGTAAGTTCTAGTAAGATACAATAGAGTCATAAAACTAATACGTGTTTAAAAGGTTACAAAACTCGATACGAACCTGTCAACATTGAATATGCCCTTCCTTCAAAGTTGTATCAATACTTGTACACACAGTACATATAGGCATACCTAGTTTTACAGTGAACATCTTACCATGTTTCATCAAAACCCAGAAATATTAAATACAGAGCAGCTCCTTACCTGATACTAGCTGCTCTAATGCTATAGAAGTTGATGGGTCACTTGAATCATCAGCAATTGTGGAGGCGAATGAGTTGTAGCTGGTCTAAGACTTAACCTCTAGATTTTTGTTTTATTTTGTTTTTAATTAAATCACTATGCCTTAAATCAAATTACAGTAGTGGCACGTTATTAATACCAATGTCTCTCAGCAAGAACATAGCACATCTGGGTTTGGGGAGCTCAGTTTCCAGCACACGTTTGTTATCATCAAATTTGGATGCGTACAGCTCTTCTGCTTTCAAATGCTTTTGAGGAGAAAATAAACTCCTTAATGGAGTAGCTTAAACGGCAGTGAACTTTAATGCATAAAACTGGATAGTAGTGAAAGATGATACCAAACACAGTGCTGAATTACACGTACCCTAAAATAGAATGTAAATGAGCTAGTATAAATAAATTATTATCAAATAGTTATTTACCATTGTGTATATTGCTTTTCCTTCTGGTCCATTTTGTTATAGTGTCTCCCAGGTAGCACAGTGATGGCTTACAGGCTGAAAACCAGAGGAAAAAACTATAGATTTGCTCATCATTTTGTTCTTTTTCAAAAAAAATATGATCATTCAACTTACTTTCACTTCCTTTCAGGTAAAAAAAGGACAAAAAACTTGTTGGGTGTTGCCTACATCTGTCAGGCCACTTCAAAACCACTGGAAAACCCTTGAGCTGTAACATGCTAAAGATACTACAAAACCAAATGAGTCCTGACCATGTTACTTGTGAATGGCAGCTGTCCCAAAGAAGAGCTGATACATACTTCCCCCATTCCCTGTATATCTTGTGTAGAGTTCAAAGATTATTCCAGTTTTAGGTGTTTGAACTTCTAAAAGCACACGTTTAAAGCATAGTCCTTCAGGAAGAATTAAGGGATAAAACAAGCTTGCCTTACTCTTCTCTTTTCCATATGGAAAACTACCATATCTGTTTCTGGGAAAAGGAAGACTTTATTTCAGGGTGTCTAATGCCAAACTGTCAGTTGAATATATGTTGGTTTCAATTCTAAGTGATTTTTTTTTTTTTAAGCCTGTTTAATAGGGTTTTTTTTAATTACTTTCATTATAGTCTCCCTTTCCTGGAGATGATGAAGAGGAGGTGTTTGACAGTATTGTAAATGATGAAGTAAGATACCCACGATTTCTGTCTACAGAAGCCATCTCTATAATGAGACGGGTAAGAACATAAGAATAATCCAGTATTCCTCTCTCATCCCATTTTCTCCCCACCATTAAGGGCATTAATTACTTTTGTGCAGAAGAAAATACTTTCAGAATCTATGCTTGGTAGTTTTTTCTGCAATTAAATTTTGGACTTCATTTATACTGTGCTGCCTGTCACCTTCTATGAGAATTGTCAGTGCCATTCCACTTTAATCAGGAGCAAGTTTTTCTTTTAAAAATGTAAAACACTAGAGGCTCTGTTTTCTCCCTGAGCTAAGTTTCCTAGTCATATCTAACCAGAGAAGTTCAGCTCTTTTCCTAGCAGAACATGGCTGCATTGACCTGTTTGGTAGATTAACATTGTCACATGAATATTTTAATTCAAAGACTTCTAAATCTTTTTGGTTTCATTCCAACTGGGGCAGGGAACAATGCACACATGGTATCTGCCATCCCATTCTCAGCAAAGAACAGCTGATTTTGTATATGATTGTTATTAGTGTAATGCCTCTGCTTATCTAAGGATGCTTGAACCTAAGTTAGCAGCTTATCACAGGTGGTAGAAAGGCAGCTGCTGGAGGGGGTTCACAGCCTCTCCGCTTAGATGTCTGACACTGAGTATCAGTCTAGCACCCAATTCAGCAATGATGTGCTGCACCCTCTAAGTTAAAGCAGGTCACAGTAACTACTGTGACATAAGTAATAGCATAAATATTCTATAGCTTGAAATGATTACTTATTCCCAGAGAGAAACTGTGCATGTCTACAGAAAGAAGGGTATTTTTCCTGTGAAAATTACTATGCTGATGCCCACAGAAGACATCTGTGCTGCACCCAGAACGTGTGTATCGTGAACTTTGTGCTTGCAGCTTACCAGTTGCGGTTGTGCGCGCACTGTTGCCATCTGAGTTGTTCTTACATGACAGAGTAGATATTATTTTTTGATGGCTGCATCGTGAATCTCTCAGCTGTCCCTGATGTTGGGCACTCTGCCTGAACAGGGTCCGCTTGCAGCAGCACCATTCACAAGTGGGAGCATCTGACTTCCAGCGTTGGCTAGAAAACTCTTACTTGGCTGGGCGTGTAAAGCAGCACGCAGTCCTCTTGGTAAATCAACTGCTGTGAAATAGCTGGGCACAGGAGACAGCACAGTAGTCTCTCTTATGAGCCAAGCAAAAAATCCTAGCTTACGTAAATTCTGTATCTTCCCCAGCAAAAAGCAGGCTCTTCTATTGCCCTGCGCTGAACCCCTTGCCCCACAAATCACCTCAGTGACCAAGACTTGGTAGCACGGACCTGCAGAGATGCAGCTGAGCCTGCTCTCTGTGCAGTCAGAGCCATGCTGCTGGTGGAAACAGGTTGCTGGTTGTGCAAACAGGTTCAGGCACCTCTAAAAGAGCACTGCGTTCTCTCTAGCTGTGTGCATCTGAAGTTCTGTCTTTCCTTCTCTTTGAGGACCAAGAATTGCCTATAGGTCAGGCACTATGAATTTCACTTGTCCCTCCAATCTTGGTGTTGGCTCTTACACAGTAGTACTCATCCCCCCTAGTTCCTCCCCTGCCTCTCAATTTTTGCACTGAAATCTCACATGTTCTGTCAGCTGCTACGAAGAAATCCAGAGCGACGTCTTGGAGCTGGAGAGAAAGATGCTGAGGATGTGAAAAAGCATCACTTCTTCAGGGTGAGTACAGGCTGGTGTTATTTCTAAGGACACTAAGGAACAGAGACAGGAAACTAAATATCAGTTGGTTTATTTTACAGCTAATAGATTGGAATGCTTTACTGGCCAAGAAAGTGAAGCCTCCTTTTGTACCCACCATTAGAGGACGAGAAGATGTTAGTAATTTTGATGATGAATTTACCTCTGAAGCACCTATCCTCACTCCACCTCGGGAACCAAGGATACTTTCAGAAGAAGAGCAGGAAATGTTCAGAGATTTTGATTACATTGCTGATTGGTGTTAACTTCTAGACACTGTGAACCCCCAGCTGACTGGCTCACAAGAAGGCCTCTCTCTGAAGAATACCGACCCTTCGATTGCTCTCTGTGCCACCTGTAGCTTCTGGTTTTTTTAAATCACACGAAGATTCTTTTAAGTACTGTTTTAACACTCTTGTGAAGAGTGGCCTCTTTGTACATTGTTTTTTATCTGAGCACTGGAAAGCAGGTTATGGAGTTCTTAAGCTGAGTTGGTGAACCCAGGCTGTATCGAGCTTCCCACACACAGGCACACGTGGAGCTGTACTGTTTCTCTCACTCTTCCACAGCAGATAACATCACTTTTTTAAGTATCTGCCTCAAGTGGGAAAAGCAAACTTTGAGCTAGGTAATCACTTATCTCTACTCAGCCACACAGAAAGAGAGGTTTGGGATACTGATGACACTCACACAGAATATGGTTCTAGCTGGAGAAGGCAAATTATTTCAGTTAAATATTATCTTGTGCAGTCTATGAAACTACACATTTCTATGTACACCTTCATCTTGTGTTCTTAAAATAATGGTGTTGAGAACAGATATGCCTTGTTTTGTAAATTTTCTATGGTATTTATTAGGAAAACTGTTAAACGCCTTGCCTTTGAGATAACAACAGCGTAAGTGCTTCCATTACAAAGAAAAATCCAGAAAAATCCGGAAAGTTTACCAAAGCCACTTGCCAAACAGTTTTGCCTTCAAGCTTTTTAAGCATGGCTTAAAACCCTGGTTGATATGAAGCATGTAACAAGGATGTTGCTCAGTCTAACCCACAAAGAGCAAAGCATATGCATTTCCCAAGCCCATTCACTTTTGTCCTCAAACTCATGCCTTTCCCACTCACTGAGTGGACAGATAAGTTAACCGGTCTGTATCCAACCACCTAGATCATCCTCTGTCTGCTGTACAATATCATATCACTTTTAGGAAACATAAGGATTTTCAATGTATACATGCTGTGAACATGTATATTTGGAAGTTGTAATGTATTCTTATGTCCAGGCAAGTAATTTAATTATACCACTTCATTAATTTTGCACAGTGGCCAAGTGAACGAGTGAAAAAAGTATTTGTATACATACAGGCCACTGGACTCCAGAAATTAGATTGGCAGTTACTGAGGGTAAAAGCAATATGTTGTAACAGAATGTATAAATATTTTTGATAAAAACAGTGTATATTTTATAAACCCAACACTAAAAGCTGTACCTCAAAAGTTGAAAAATAATTTAGACCAGACACTGTGCATACCTGTAAACCAAGGCCTATTTTTGGCATCTAGTGTTCCATGGGCAAACATTAATTCTTGGAAAATGAATTTCCCATGTGGTCCTTAGCTCTAGCCCCATGCAGAGCTGATTGCATATGTAATCTCACAGGTTCATCCCAGCCAGGAGTTTGCTGTTGGTGGGCTAAGGCAGTAAATTCAAAACTTGTAGTTTTATTCATTCAGAGAAGAAATGCAGACCACTGGAACGTGTAACGCTGTGGTGGTGGCTTAAAAATCATGATGCTGGACAGACCTGCAGGGTCAGGCAGGGGAGAGGCTTCGGGAGAAAAGGACATGGTTAATAGGTCCAGATCAGGCACCCCCCCAAGGAACAAGGCGGGCATCTTTACTGGCTCTACCAATCGTGGGTGGCAGAGCCAGTCAACTTGCCAGCATTACTTGTTTCCAGAATCTAATTAAGGAGAAACCAATTATGTTCCTGTATCTAGGTGAAATCAATACTTTTGAGGTACAGTCAGCTCACCCGTTTTGGTTCCCAAATACATATATACGAGCATCTATAACAGGGTGCTTAACACTTACGAAAGTATCCTCAAAAATACCTTTTTGTAACTACGTCTTGTACAGAAATCTTTTTTTTAATCTAAGTAAATCACTTAAAAAAAAAAATTAGAGGGCAGGGTATGTTCACCCAGTTAAGCTGAAAGAAAGCACTAATTTTATCTCTGTAGTTTTTTAAATATTTTTAGGCAGATTAAGATTTTAAACCCTAGATTGTAAATATATTTTGCTATACTTTATCTGTATGTGGCTGCTCAAGCACTTTGTAAGGAAATTAGGATATTTTAGAATGGTACACTATGCATTAAAATGAAATGTGCCTTTAACAAATGTCATTCTAAGTGTTTTGCAGTCATTAATATCACAAATTAAAGTTTTAAATAGAGTAATTTGTAAATTGTGTCCCAACTATGATTTTGCTGCTTCTTGAAGTGACTTGTCATGTTTTCTCCACAGGTAACTTCAGAAAAGAACTTGCACTCAGGAGGGGACTTACAGAAACCCAGTCTCTTAGTGGTAGCTCAGTGTACTTCCATTTGGTTTTTTTTAAAAATCAAAATAAATAATTACCTTCTTTCAGAGGCTGAGGAAAGCAGCCTCCTCTTGCTTGGGGGAGCAGTCCTTCTGAAGGGAGCAGGAGATGACCACACCAATCTCCTGAAGTCTGGCCAGGCTGAATCAGCAGTGCCTTGCCCAGGCTTCCTCTGTGGGCGGGGCAGACAACACTCAACTCCCCTCCTGGGTATTTTCTCATTAGTCTCCTTCCTCACCCCCAGCATATAGGAAAGCTCTGTAAACAAACAAAACCTATACCTGACCCACAACGAGCTTGTTCTTTAAGCAGAAAATGAAGCTTTCTTTTCTGAGTGCATTAGAAAAAGAAATCTTTACTCTTAAGAACAAACTAAAGTGTCACATGAAACCATTGCCTGGAGACACTACACTTCAATACTTAACTAACCAATCATTCCAGAAAGGGCTGGCTCCAAATGAAGATACAGCCAGTTTCAAATATCTGCTCTAAATTGCAGTTGAATTAACATAGGAAGTGCCTGAAGATACCATACCACTGCCTTTGTTGCATGTGGGGAACGAAGTCCTCTAGCACTCCCAGGCTCACTGCTGAACAGCCTCCCAGCAGGCCCTAAACCCTGCAAAAAAAAACCGCAGCCTCCCTCCCCAGCCTGCTTTGGGCTCTACTTGTCACACCGCCTTTGCTACTGTGTAGCTTCAGTAACACCAGGGGGTGGTAATTAGCTGAAACAGGCTGCAGAGCTGCAACAGCCTCGGCTCCAGCTCCCCGCACCTCTGGCTGCTGTACCACTGCCCACAGCCATCCCCACGCTGCCCAGCAGGAACAAGGAGAGCTCATTTCTGAATTAGAACCTTCTGCAACAGAAGCCACGTTCTTTTGCTTCATCACAGCAGCTTACTAAAGGGGTCATAACTGCCTAAAAATTAATTCAGAGTTATACTTTTTCTTCCAGAATGCTTCACATTAACCATAGTCTACTGGGACCAGTAGTAACTGGTTTTCAGAATATCTGGCCCCTTCCAGTATATGCTTCATTCTGCCTCTCTGGGCCGCAGTTACCACCCTCTCCATGCCAAGGGAGGTACAGCAACTGCTTGCAGAACTGCAGGCAGAGGCAGGGCTGAGCCAGGGTAGCATGTCCCTGCCTCCATCTGCTGAGCTTCCCACAAGATGTGTTTCCATTTCAGAGCAGACAGCTTTGGCCATACGTAACAGTTTCAACTGCAAACACCCCTCACATGTCATGTGCCTAATACCTGAGAGTATTTAAAATAAGAGCATCACTGTAAGTAAGTTTCAGCCATTTTTAACCTGCATGAGTTAACATACTGATCTATGCTGGAAAGTACACTTGCAGTAAGAGAACTTTCACCTTTGCATTTCCAAACTCTAACAGTACATTAAAGGTCAGGTCCTGCCTATTCAAAGCATCATGCCTTCTCCCACAGAGAGGTAGAGAAGAGTAGCTCAGAGCACAAGATAGTGAAAGCCCAAGTAAAATAATATGTTGCAACAAAGCTTAAGGAAATACATTAGACCTTAGAATACAATCCCTCTGAACTACCACAACCACCACCTTTAACATCTGCACCAGAATTTTTCATGACTGCAACCGAGAGCTTCAGTGGTGTAACAGAACCGTATAGCCTTTGCTACTTGTTTACAGAAGAAAATCTTGAGCTGCCACATTTCAATAGTCTCAACCGGCAGAAGAGGATTAAAACTGAACCAGCAAGAAAACAGTGAGGTCTATTGACAATGGCTGCTATTAGCACTGGACACATCAGACCAGATGTGTAGCAAGCTAAGCCCTCAGCTGTTCATTTCCGCAACTGAAATCAATTTGCACCTGTGACACAAAATTAACCCGGGAACCAGAAGACTCCCAGATAACTACATTTGTTGCTCTGCACACAAAGGGACACTGTCAGGAGGCAACTAGTTTCCAAAGCTGTTAGTTTGGGGAGGGCTGAAGAACTTGTGGTCTTGGCTCCTTGGCACCTGGTGCATCATTTCAAACAAGCAAGTACTCACTTAGAACAGAACTGTGTCAAGTGCTTAACCACGGGGCAGCCAGCCTGCGGGGTGGACCGACAGGTCAGGACATTTAACAGAAACTTTTACTAGAAATACTTTTTACCTTCCTTTGTACAGTACCAAGCATCATAAAGTTGTCAGGAATTCACCTACAGTAAGTAGCAGTTCCCTTTACCTGCTTTGTCATTATGTCAAATGCACAGAAGCAAAGCAGAGAGACATCAGTGAAAATGAGGGAGATCGTGCCAAGGACGTGACTAACACTTTCACAACAAATCTGGAAATCTTCAGCAGCAGTTGTGCAAATATTCAAACCGCTTTGCAGTGACTGCTTGCATTCTGGTTTAAGTCACCCACACGCTACTGTACAGCTAACTACAAATACTAAAGCCACACTAGAGGTGAGAAATTGCCAAGAAAGCAAGCATTTAAGCAGCCTTGTGACCAAGTCCATAAGTACGAAGCTAACTACCGTTTCATAGACTGCACTCCAGTTCTCAGCATGTGGAACAGTATGTGCACCTCAAGTTGCAGTCATATTCACAAGATGGTAAGTGTTTTTGGAAAACAGTTTATTTGGGAATTACATAATATTTTAAATTTTCCAAAATACATCTTACTAGATCCCTACAAAAAAAATCTAAATAAGTACAACAATATGAAATTAAGGTTTTTTGCAACAGTCATTAAATATTTACTTCCACTAATATATACATACAAAATGCCACACAATGAGCTTGTTTACCCTTGGAATGTGTGCTGCAATCCAGCAGTTATTCTCCATCTCCTCCAGTTGCACAACATGAAGACTCAATATTAACACTTTGTACATCCTTTATTATAGGCAAAAATCAAAAGTTTGTTGTTGTTGGGGTTTTTTCTAATAGAAATTAAATGCAACCCTCCGCAATTTCACAGCTGTGGTAGTTTGTCTACTGGGGTATCAAACTTGAAGTCTGCTGGGAAGAGATCTGGAGCTCGAGGGTAGATCAGCCTGTACGATTGTCTAATCGTAACGTCAGCCACACCAGCAATATCACCAATTTCTATGACAAAAAGCAGGTAAGTGATTAGTTTTTACTTTTGCCATTTGTACTGAAGAAACCAGCAAGCATAACTTATCAAGTGCTATGCACTTAGCTTAATTCCTAGCTCTCCCACAAGCCTGGTAAAAATGGGCTTAACCATGGTGACTAATATTTTGCATACGTAAGCCTGTCTTCTCACATGCCATAGTTCAACTTATGATATCAATCTTGGAATA